TTAACCTGTTCAAGTCTAGGGTTAAACGTTCTCTTCACCATCTATCTGTATAAACTGTGTAACCCTCTACCTCGAATGTCACCCGGTGCAAGGTGATCCTCACTGTAAAAAAAAAAATCACCAATCTACAGAAGGATGGTCGTCGCTGAAACCTGCCATGCTTCACACGCTCGAAACCACTTTTAACCATCGATCGGTGAACTCGCTTGTATCCAGTTGACAGTTAAGATATTTCTGAACGGTTCTGGTGAAATGCATCACAACTATATGAAAATCTCAATCTGACGTGACTAATTAAGAACACAGACTTATCGAAAAGTCATATACTCTCACAAACTCAAAGACTCAAATTGTATTTAAGCCTAGCTAGTGACTGCGTTGGGAATTACTAATTTCCATGCTACGTGTTTTAAATTATGTAGTGGGGAAAAAAAAGAAGTGTGTCGTGAGACAAGAGATTCCACAGTTTTCTAAGTTATTTCCCAAATTCTGGCCGACACAAAATTCAAAGAATAAAAATAAATCCGATTATAAACGAATGAATTTTCAAATTTGTCTCGTTTATTTACAGTTGGATTAATATCCTCATCTCTGTTGTTATAACCACAATGTTTCGGTCGTTGTGTCCTCCGACCTTCTTTGGCGTGTCTGATCAGGGAATTGTGAACTGAACCCTTTATTTAATCTATGGAGAGAGGTTGTTCTTGATCTCCTTGAATTTCTTGGAAGAGGAGCTTTTATTTATATTACCCATGTAGATTAAGTAAAAGGTCCAGTTCGAAATTCCCTGTAGGTTAAAAGGATCGACAGACACCTGAGGAAGGCCGGAGAGTACAACGGCCGAAATGTTGTGATAATAGCCATAAACATGAGAACATCATTTAGACTGTAAATAATGTAAATAATAACAACTCCTAATTGTAGACATTTAGATAGAAAATTATCTTGTTTATCTGTTCTTTTCTTTCTTTCTTTTAAAAAAAAATTAACATACTTTAAAACTGATGCTATTTTAACCTGGACAACATCAAATAACCTTTATTAACACAATTCCATAGCTGTTTTATCTGCCTGAAGGTTTAGATATTAAAAATACCGTTTAATAATTTTTTGTCAAAAATCTTTTAAGTTTGTGAATTAGGTATGGTGCTTGAAAAAGAAAAGAAAACGTGACGTTTTCGTTTTTATTTAAGAAAATAAAAATTCTTTCGCTTTTTTCCCTTCCAAAACGTTCATTTTATTGAATCAGAACTAAAAATCGGTTCCGCTGTGATTGAGAAAAAAATGAATTAACTTTCATTTAATTAAAAAAAAAATGAATTGAATTTGAAGCTTTATTTATGGCTAATAAATCTTTTTTCCATCTCCACGGGAATTTTTTTTTTTTAATTTTATGGGCGTTTCCAATTGGATCAAGTGAATTCGAAGATATTTAAATAAATTTCCTGACTGGAGTTCAAGGCTTTAGCATTTTATCAACAATGGCGTCAACTGGGAACATCACGCCATCTTTGACTCCCACTTATATTTCGTCCTGCAGAAATCAACATTCAATAGCCGAGAAAATTTTAGAGAAGAAAATAAAACAATATAATCATTTTTTTGTCAATCTCTACGCGCCGATGCAGCGTGACAAAATCAGACGTGTGTATTTTCGCCAGAAAACTCGTGAATAATATAACCCCAGAGGTACTGGATTCCTATGGCGTCATTGATTGCGTCAGCTTCACAAATATACGAGGTGTCGAAAAGTTCTAAATCTTACCAAATCCCCAAATCTGGCCAAATGACCAAACATCAGAATTTTAAGAATTCTTTTTCCTTACATATGGTAAGACCAATGGTGTTTCTCATTGAAGCTCATCTGATTTATCATTACTATTGATATTTATTATGATTAGTATACTCTGGCACAAGGATACAAGTAATGAACACTCATTGAGGAACAAACGCACTTTTGGCCTTGGACCAAACTTAGCAAATGTATTGATGAATAGGATGACTTTTAGCACGTTAATTTCATAAACCGTTATTACCGCAGTGAGTTCGATCCTCACTGTTTTCCCTACACTAATGCCTATTCACTACTATACCATGCTTTGAACACATCAATTAGTAAAGGACTCGCTGTAAGGCAATGATTAAGAAACTGATCTCGGAGACTAGTGTTAGTGAGTTTGATCTTTTGTTGCTACACGCTAGACTAAATTAAACATAACACACCTCACCTTGGAGCAATGGTGAGCATGCTAATCACAAAGAATTACGTACTGTACTATGTTCGATCATTACTGGGAGCCTCAGTTTTGTGAATTTGTACCACATGCGATAAGAAACAGCTTTTTGTAGTAACACAATAATTAATGGAATTAATGCCGTGTCTGTATAGAACTCCGACAAAAACGAGATGAAACCATTACAATGCCGACATTAGATCTCTATCTGTTTCACAACGTAAGTCCTGATGTAAATTATTAAAACTTTCCCTTTCTGGAGTGTACAATCCGTTTAACGACACAAGTCCTGATGTAAATTATTAAAATTTTTCCCTTTTTGGAGTGTACTAACAAAAATGTACAACAAATCTCGAAGTTCCATTGGCGCATATTCAGTCACGTGATATAATCAAATACGTACATGTCACAGTTTACATGACTTCTGTCAAAAGTAAGAGGCAAGGCGTTTATAAAGATGAAATCGTAGAATTCGTTCTTTTTTAACGTCTTGTTTGGAGGCAATCAGTCAAATAATTTCATGACATCTACGTATCGAACGTTTGTACCAGCGATTATAGAATTTGCGCCTCTCTAAACTACATTCCAAACTGGACAAGATTACAAATACGGATATTTATTTTGTTCTTTCTTTCTTGCCTGCAATCTCACAAGAAAAGAAAGAAAGAAAGAAAGAAAGATTACCAACAACAAATGGAATAACAAAATAAGAAGGAAAATATATTTTAAAATAATTAGAAAGAAATGTATATTTTACGAATTAAAAAATTTATGATACAATTTTATTAATTTTATGTGTATAAGCAGCATGAAAAAATTCCCTTAATAGTAACTGACTCATAGAGTAAACCTCAAAATGTCTAAAGTATTATGTAACCATAAAGTGGATTTAGTAAAATGAAAAATGGAATAAGAGAAAAATGGTTTAGTTTTGCATGCTACTTATACGCTTAAATGACGACCCCACTAAAATTTGTCCTCCTGCGCCCATTTCTATTTCAGCCAATATTTCAAGGGGTGATATTTCTTGTTCTTCCACACTGTCTTTTTTAGCCTCATTCAAATTCCTGTGTAAACCTTTTAAAACCCTATTATTATTATTATTATTATTATTATTATTATTATTATTATTGTTGTTGTTGTTGTTGTTATTATTATTATCATTATTATTATTATTATTATTATTATTATTATTATTATTATTATTAATGTTGTCCTGCTTTGTATCCTGTAAAGCCGAGTCCAAACCATGGTCCTTAGGCTATATAGGAGAATTTTAATTTAATTGATAGCACTTTTCTTAGTATATGGGATTTTTCTAGTAGGGCGATCTTCTGGTCAACTTGTATGTTGATGTTACCTGGGACACTTCTAGTAAAATTTCCCATTCCTTTTCTCACGAGGTCCAGAGCTCCGATTACTCTTGGTACTGTCTGAGACTTCATTCCCCCCATCCTGTTAATCTCGTTCTCCAGGACCTTGTATTTGGACAATTTCTCGATAATTTTCATGGAGGTGTTTCTCTCAGATGGTACTGCTATGTCGTCATTAATATTATTATTATTATTATTATTATTATTATTATTATTATTATTATTATTATTATTATTACTATTGCACCATTATTAACATAGTGAGTTTGAATTTCAGTGGGTGACACTGCCCGATAAGCGAATTCTTTAATGGAAGATTTATGCAGTGGTGTATTTCCCACCGGCGTGAGTTAGCAGTGGACAGGCTGCTGATTTTTAGGGCAATTAGGCCTTTTCCGGTTGGGGGGACAAGCGTAACACAATTTTTCTATGCCTAATGCTATTTAGGACTAGTGCTATACTATGTAAAACTTAATATCGACAACAACAATAACAAAGAATTCAAGGATTGTTATCTGTGCTTTTAATTTATGTTCTATTAAAATATCAGCAAAATAGTCTATCCCCCGTCCGCCCATTAATAATCTCATGGGATTAGCATTTCCATCAGATTTTTTATTATTTTATAGCATTTTCGATTTAGACGAATAATGTTTGCAGCCTGTGGATGAAAAGATAAATTTGAAAACAATTCCAGTAATATTCGAAATGGAGACGCTCTGACCGCAGCTGTTAACATGATAGTGAGTTCGATCCTTGCTAAATGCGCTAAAATACGTGTCATTGACAGTATAATCAATAAGATTGCTTTATGACTATTTTGGGAAATGAAAAAATATCTTTTTTTTTGGCATATCGCGGGAGCGAACCTTATTTTAGACTATTTCGACTTTGATCAGAATGGATTTAAATTTGTCAGTTCACTAATACGTTATTTTTCTGTTGTTTGTCAAAACCTTGCTGTGATCGTTGCTGACCTGCTTAATTACAGTCCTGAGAATAAAAATTAATTAGTAATGAAGTAAGCTAAAGAAATGCTACTCTTTCCAACATGGAAGTTAATGACAAGGACCAAGTTTCTCCGCTATTGATTGATTGATTTGTTTATTACAGCTTATCAACCTCTTGTATGTTATTTAAAGCCAGAAAATATTTTGAGATTGTAAGATTTTTTGAGCTAATGATGATAATGATGATGATTTTTTGAGCTTTACTGATACAAGACCGAAATATTAAATCATAGCTAGGGGGGAGGGGAGAGAAGAGGTGGATTCATACCTTTCCCAAGTTTATTTGCGCGTAAGTGAATATAATGAAGTCGATTGAAACTGGAACTCGGCTCTCCGGTTTCCAACTCCGAGCCATTATCCATTACACCACCTGCACATCCAAGCTTACAGCATCTGGTATTCGCAAGTCATTACCCATCTAAGTACTGATCAGGCTCAACGTTGCTTAACTTTGGTGATCGTACGAGAACCGGTGTATCAATATGATATGGCCATAAACCTCTCCGTTCCAGGGATGAATGATACCGACCGACTCTATTTAAAGCAAGGAAAAAGGACTGAATATCAAAGGTTATCTTCAAATAGGCAAAATAAGAATTGCAAAATTATAAAAACTGCTTGAAAAAGTCAGAGGTACGTAGTAAGTATGAAACTCATTACAGTAGTAATGAATTACAAAATAAGCAGATTTTAACATTTAAATATTAAGAAAAGTAGAGGAAACTTGTTGTCATTTTATCTGAAAGACACCAGTTGCTTTTGGCAGAAAAATTCAGCAATAACAACAACAATAACAACAACAGCAGCAGCAGCAGCAACAACAACAACAACAACAACAACAACAATAATAATAAAGTATAGGAAATGTTACATTTCTTTGGAAATTTTGCAAGTCAAACATTACCCAATCCGAGCTAGGAATCGAGGATTAGCCATGGTTAACAAAAAAAAAATCTATCCAATTGTGAATGACACTGTTCCAATAGGCTACAGAAAACTGATGTAAAATGGCAAACTGGAAAATATTTAGAAATTGAAGAATACTGAGAAGAGTATTGGAGAATTGCAGAGACTTTTTCTTGTCACTTAATTTCCGTCGAGATTTTAACGATTTGGAAGTTTCAAAAATAATAATCTAATCGAAAAATAACTATTACTACTACTACTAGTACTACTACTAAGAAGAAGAAGTGGTATTACTTAGTGGCTGAGGTAGTTGCACCAGTATTTAACGATTGAATCGAGATAAAGTTCTAAATTTGAAATACAATACCCCGCTCTTGAAAAAATATTTGCGTTTTCTGATCTTTTGCATTAATAATAATGGTAACATAGCAATAATAAGGCTAAGAATAAAAAAAAGTTCTTATTTCATTAAAAAACAACAACAACAAAAAACAGAGCAATTAAATAAGTGGGCCATAGATATTTCAAATTCGCTTAGTATAGTACAAAGCGGAAATAGTGGCGGAAAGATTGCATACGCCTGTCTTCTCGTTGTATTTTATCTTGGTAACAAACTACCTCAGCCACCTAGTAATTTAGTACAAGAGAGAATAACAGCTTATTTTTTTATAATGATCGTATTGTTAAATAAGCAAAGCAAAAGATATGAATATTATACTAATATCTAAATTCATTGGTGTAATCTGATAAAACGATAATGAAATAATGTTGATCATCATCTATGAAAGAAAGAAAGAAAGAAAAAAAGAAAGAAAGAAAGCTAGAAAAGGATAATATATTAATAAATGAATAAAAAGAAAAACACCCAAAAGAAAGAAAAAAGAGATAAATTAAAACACAAAGAAAGAATGTACGCAAAAAGAAAGAAATTGGCAAAAAGAAAAAGAGGAAAAATGTAGAAAGAAAGAAAATTTTAAAAGTAAAAATTAAGCACGCAATGAAACGAAAATAGAACAAAACTGAAAGCAAATATATTTAAAAAAACTAAAAACTAAAAGACAAAGCCTTAAGTGAGCGTGCAAACGACTGGACAAAGGTTAAAACAATATCATTCCGACGTCAGCGTTCGTTTTCACACACAAAACCAAAGCGAATGGAAGAAGATCCGGGCGAGCAACTCATGTCATCTTCGTCAGTTTGTCCAAAATGGCGGAAGATAATGGCGGGAAGTAAAAGGGAAAGAAAGAAAGAAGAATGTTGCAGCGAGTGGGGAGGTGGTTTAGAGGAGTGTTTGAAGGGATGGGGTAAAAAGAGCGGATTTCTAAAGAGTTATTTGAATTAGATTCATCGATGCATAAATAAAAGTACACGTCGGAAACGGCTGCCACAATATGAACGAGAAAAATACGCGTGCTTACGTACACATACACGTGAGTGTATAAGTCGAGATAAATAGTTTACACACGTGTATATGTTTATATATGTGTGTGTCTGTGTGTGAAAAGAGAGAGAGTAAGAGAGAGAGAGCAGAAGAGAGAGTGTGCAAGTGTGTAAGTTCTTGTGTTTATCATCCGGGTAGATACGAAAGAGAAAACGCATTTCAAATAATCTTGTATATTCTTGACGAAATTTTTATTTTTGCAACACTAGTATCAAGTAGCTTCCAATTAAGGTCAAGTGACAGCAAGTCTCCTCATTATTCCTGTCCTCTCCTCAGTATTCTTTTGTAAGGTCGTTTTCTTTATAATTCCAGTTTGTCTATATATTTACAATTCTTTCAATCTCTTTACAAGATTCTTCCAAATTGCTTCAACTGTTCCTATAATCGTAGGCAAAACCATCACTTTGCAGGTTTTTCAGTTCTCTTGCAAGGTTCAGATATTTTCCAAAATTTGTGCTTTCTTTCACTTTTACTCTAGTCTGGATTGGATAATTCACAATTTTACTCTTGGCCCGTTGACACAGCCACATGTACTATTCTAAAGGTTATTTTCTCCATTTTAATTATTAAATCTATTATTATTATTATTATTATTATTATTATTATTTCTACCCGGTAGTTATCGCTGATGATCAAGTGTCAACCGATGCTTGTAAAATCAACAATACACTCTTTAGTATTATTGTCATTTGTTTCACTTCTTTGCCAAATATCCAATAGTTCCAAGTGCTCCGGTTATTATGGGCATTTCTCTCGGTTTCAGTTTCTTAAAATTATATTTCTCTATTTTTCAAGCTTTTATTCATCATTTTATTTATGCTTATTGATGGAATGGTTATACTCAACAATTTCATCTTTGCAACTCCCAAATCTGATTTTATGGTTTAGATAAGATGGTTCGTTTGAATCTTACTCTCCTCGTAATATTTACACATCATCATCATCATCATCATCATCATCATCATCATCATCATCGTCATCACCATCGTCATCACCATCATCATCATCATCGTCATCACCATCACCATCATCATTTCTTCTCGTTATCATTATCGTTTTCTTCTTTATGAAGAAATTGACTAATTCCCATTAGTAGTAGAATAAATTTATTATAGGTAAAGTTTAAATGTTTTAAATATAAAAATATTTGCCCAAATCACTTGCTATATGAAACCGAGGTAATTTTGAAAATCTTCCTGTACCAGTTGTACACGTAAGTTGAAGACATTGATTTGTAGATTAATGACTTCTGTCTTCATCTTACAAGGAAAAATCGTTCTGTTGAAGTGAATTAGATTCAAAGGGAACAAACCATTATTTTTTCTATTATTTTTTTAAGGTCATGTCTAAGATAGTGGGTGGTCAGGTTATGGTGTGGAGCAAGAGACTTGAATTGAAGCTACTTTGAGGAAACGTGTTCAGAAAAAAAAAAAAAGAAGCTAAACGCTGAACTTGAGACAAAGGTGGAAGGATGACGAATGACGGAGACAACAAAAAAAGAAGCAAATGTAAAAAGACCCAAAAGCCGTAAAGGAAAAGTGAAGGATAGCTTCGTGTTTCGTGATGTGTTATTACAAGGCCGAGTCACGTGGTGTGACGTCAGCCGGACAGTGATGAGTTCCCACAATACAATCTCGACCATGATTGCTACTGCTCTTACCACTGCAGGCAAAGGCTAAGCTTTAATAAAAACTAACAAAAAGAAAGAAGAAAAAAAAAAACGAAAAAAAGAGAAATTGGCGAGTCTTTTTGTTGATTGCGCTCGATCTGCGAGGCGAATGAGTAAGAAGAAAAAGTAAGAAGTAACATGGCGGGAAATATAATGGCGGAAAATGAAACAGTCAGAAATGAAATGGTGGGAAAAATATCGAAAAAAGAAATTAGCCAAAAGTGGAGGGAAGTATTTCGAAACAACCAAAAAATGAAAATCAAAATATAAATAAAAACACTGAACCTTTACAAAAATATCTGAGAGTAAAGAGTTAATTTCCATTCGGAAGAAAATAAACACTGGGTGAAGTACTGATGTTTACCAGAAAGAAAGAAAAAAAAACTTCCGTTGATTATCTTCTAAGTGGTCTTTATTTAAGCGACCAATAAAAACCGAAAATGATTCATTCGTTCAATATAATCACAAAGGCTTAATATTTATTAATCTCTTTCAATGTATATACGTGTGTTTCGTGTTTAGTAGATTTTCTGTTTTCATATACGTGAGTGTGTATCTTCATGCCGATATATATTTTTAGTATGTCTACTCTTATACATCTATACGTGATTATGTCTATGTGTATGTGCGGGATCTTGCATGCGTGTGCCTCCATCTGTATATACGTGAGTGTACGTTTATATTTCTATGTTTTTTTAATGTATCTTATTATATATATTTATGTGTATGTGTATGTGTCTGTGTGTGTGTGCCTTCGTGCATCTATACCTGAGTGTTTTCCATTCATATATGTCTTCCATTTGTATATACGTGAATGTATGTCTTCATGTCTCTGCTTTTTTCCTGTGATGCATATATATATATGTGTGACTGTCTGCATCTATACGTGAAGATCTTTGTGTAGGGTTTTGTATGCACATGTGTGCTTTTGTGCGTATTTACATGAAGAGAAATACACGTTTTTTGCTTGTGTGTATTTGTATGTATATATTTTAATGTTTTCGTTCTTCTGATATAGATGCAGTAGTGTATACTTCTTGTGTCAGTGCATGTCTTTATATATATATATATATATATATATATATATATATATATATTAGTGGTTAACACACACACACACGTATATATATATATAAAAATATATACATACATACATACACATACATATATATATATATAAATATCCAAGAGGATAGAATCCATATATATATATATATATATATATATATATATATATATATATATATATATATGAATGAATGCATGTGCATATATATGCGTATGTGTTCTTTCGTGTGCTGAAACTTGATCACTTTCGATGCCGTGTGTTTGCGTGGCCATTCTATGTATTTGAGTTTTTATTTGTGTATCTGCGGGTCGGACAAATATTTTTTTTTACTTTTAATTTGGAACTACACGATTTAATTTTTACTCATTATATAAGTAAAAGCTAACGTCCGAACCTATATGAAAGAATGTGCAGTTTGAAGTTATTATGCAGATCAATATCAACCTTAACTCAACTTTGCTTTGAACAATTTTTGTCAAATTTTAAATGATTAATTTAGATGCTTGGGTTAAACTTGTAGGTACCTACGACATGTTTTATTAAAGTTATTTATTATAAAAACTGTAGTCTGAAGTTATTATGCAGATTAAACTAATATTAGTTTAAGGCCTCTGAAATCTAATAAATGCTATTTTTCCATAATATAGATTGAAACATGGGCAATCGAATACAACTAAGAAATGCTGATAAACTAAAGGTAACAGTTACTGATTAAAGGAATGTCCACATTGGAGATATAAAAAGAGCTTCGCGTAGATCATCGTACGATAAACAGGTCTATTGGAAATATAAGGAAATATATAAGTTGACAATTAGAAGCGAAAGAACTTTTCTCCTCGAGTTATAGCAAAACATCCATTTTTTACCGGTTCACAGATTTTTGAACAGGCTCGAATTGAGAGAGTCAAGGAGGACAAAATATGTAGAATACTTCGCTTATTGGGATCTGTCAAGAAATCTCCTAGGCAATCTCCTCTCAGTCTAAATTAATCGTTTAAAATTTGACAAAAATTGTTCAGATGAATTTAGTTATTGACGTTTATGTAATTTGCATAACTTCAGACGGACTGTAGATTTTAACATTCTGTTATCTATCAGAAAATATATGTCATGTTTCTTTCCTAGAAATAACTGGATTTATTTTAGGGAAACTCAATCACAAATGTGAGAAAAAAAATCGACATCTCCCTGATTCTCACTTTTGTCAAACAAAAATGAACACATTTGAATTGTAACAGTTTTTTTAATTTCTTAGATGAAATATTACAAATGATTATCTTATTTCAGTAGCTTTATATATCATAAATAAGAAGACCGAATCATAAAGAATAACCATTGGGCTACATTTGAAATCAGATTATGTCGGGATCTTACCGATCAAAGGCTACAAAGGCTTCACCAGTAATCGGCAATCAAATAGGGTCAGGTAGCGTCATTCTGTTTTTCTTTGCTCTCCACCACGGTGCCAAATTATTTTGATTATTGCACAAGACGCTTTTGATTTTGAGTATAACTTCCGAACGAAACCGTTGTGTTTACTCTCACGAGCGCCATTGGAAAAGATATAAATCCACCTTTTCTCCCCTCTATCGATTAAATAGCAAGGCGGACTGGTCTGTTTATTTTTGGTTGGCAACTAGTCTAGGATTCAATTCAAAGTCAGAAACTCAACCGCATAAATCCCACTTTTCTTATATCTAAGTGCGAGAAAAGAAACTGTCAACATAGAAGTTACGGCTACATTTAACTAGTTCAATTTTAAATTGATGAGATCTCGCCGCCAGTCTAGTATTGTGCTTCAATTCATACCATAGCGAAGAGCTCACCTGAACAATTACCATGAAAGTATTTATAGAAAAGCAGGCGCAGAAAGTCAACTTTACGGCAGTGGGCAAATGTCTGAAGCCGAGCCGCCAGATCAGGACCGATAATATTGCTGATTCTTCTTTTGATCTTATCAAAGAGCTCCAGGTAAATAGCAAGGGCACCGGACCATATATGACAGCAATATTTCGAGCAAGGACGAATGGTAGACTTATTGATATGCAAGATAGAGGAGAATGGTCCCGCCAGACACAATGAAACGACTTTCTTAGCAGCTGACCTAGCACTGGAGTCAATATAGTCTTTCCACGTCATGTCAGTTGAGAACGTTAGCCCAAGAAAGCGCTTTCTTGGAATGTAGCATCAGCCATACTGGTAGAAGGCAGAGTAAGGTCTCTCAGATAATTAACAGAGAGTTTAGTTTTTGCGGCGTTAAAATTGACAAGCCATCTTTTGCCCCAGTTAACAACGATCGAGGTCATTTTGTACATCAGCTGTCATTTTGACTGATCAGTCTTACCATCGATGCAGGATTAAATGGTAGTTTTCCTCAGCGTAGATGCCAAATTGAGAGCTGATGTCATCGGGAAGATTGTTAATGAAGATTAAAAACAGCGTAGGACCAAGTATGAAGCCCTGGGGGACACCCGCGTTAGTCCGAAAAGATGTAGACGAATGGCCGTTCAGGACAAGTTTCATTTCAAAATCTGATAGGAATGACTGGATCAGCTCCAGAACGTGCCCAGTGATACCATAATTTTTCATCTTGTGGAGAAGACCTGAATGCCAGACCCTGTCAAAGGCCTTCGAGATGTTCAGTGCGACAGCACTGACTTAACCGTTTATATCTAGAGCACGATAGAATCTTTCTGCAATTAACATTAACGGTTGGCCTGGAGAAACGAAAATCGTATTGCTTGTCTGAGAAATGCCCTGCGATGAAAGATGATGAACCAATTCAGCATTGATTAGGGCCTCTAAGAGTTTCCCAAAAAGAGATAGAAATTTAATAGGCCGATAGTTGGATGTGCCGAATGGTTCACCCGAGGTTTTAAAAACTGGAACAACAAACGATAACTTCCAGCAGGCAGACAAACAGGAGGCAGAAAGGAATTTATTATAGAGTTTAGGGAAAAGAGGAGTCAGTTTGGGAGTACAACGACTATTACAGGGATACCATCGGGTCCACATGCTTTGTTGGGATGAAGGTTAGACATGATAACCGAGACTATGAAAGGGCTTATATGCATATCACTCAGCAGAGAATCAGTGCTAAGTTAGACAGGGATTCTCCAGATGAGTCAAGAGTAGACTTTGGGGAGAATTTACGGGCAAAGCATTCAACTTTAGTTTTAAGGTGTGCTATATTTATGGGTTAAAGTACTCAATGTCAGTAATAAAGCGTATCTAAAGATAAAAATGGGCATTGAAACAGCACCTTCTATCCACCTATATATATATATGTGTGTGTGTGTGTGCGCGCGCGCA